AAATTATCTTTCCTTCCTAGTTTATCCCATTCTAAACAGTAACTGTGGAACTTTCTTCCTAATAAAGCTTTAGAGCTACTACCATGACTTCTCACCCATGCTGCAGAAATACTATCCAGATGAGCAAAGATTTTGTAATGCAGCAAGCTGCAACAAATATCCAGCTGAAACAGCAATTTAGTGGACTCGGAGCAAAACCAAATTATTTTTATGGCATATAAAATTATGAGGAGCCTTTCCCAATATATACCATGACTAATGATCATCAGCCTGTACAACGATGACACTTTAGGCACTCCCTCTGTGGTCACCTTTCATTTGCAATCATCAAGTCTGCTAACAACAGGAGGAGAAATTGCAGTTTAAAAGTGAGATTTTTATCAGCTTTCCCAGCCAGAACCAGATTGGGAAAGAAGAAAAAAAGAAAACTTCCTCTCATAGTTTAAGGAGTAAACGAGCAACTAATAAACATTCTAATTTAAGAAGTGCACATATCCTGCTAACAAATTTTCTTTTGAATAACAGAACTGAAAGGTTGATGTGGTATTTTGGTTTGGTTTGATTTTTTCCAAAGAGTAAAAGCAAATCCCACAATTAAATTATAGCAGTAATGAAAAAAAAATTGATCTGTGTGCACATAAAGTATAAGCTGGAAAATCACAAGGCAAATATTCATTTGCCAGTTTGGAAATAAATCCTAACCTGCTGATTTATGTTCCCTCCACACCATTTTTCACTCAGTGAAAACAGCACTAGCCTGCATTGACAATTCTCTTGAAAAGCTCATGAACCTTGAGCAGCATTGCTGAAATCCTGCATTTCTGCCATAACAGGCCCGGCAGCCTGGACAGAGCTGATGTAACTGGCTGCAGACATGTGTTCTCCACTTCAACAGAGCTCTGCTTTCCTGTACTGACATGGGGGATGCTGACACGCAGCACCCACGAGGGCACGGCTTGCCCTGGATCCCCTGTGTGTCTTCATCAGCCCAATCCAATCCAGCAACTTCTGGGATTGAAGGTGAGACTTTTCCAGCCAAACTCCTCTGCAGACGAGCTCATAGCGCACATTCTATGGTACCAGGCCATGGCCTCTTTCCTTCTGTACCTCTGCCCTCCTGCCCCACCATCCATGGACAGCTACCTCTGCACTACAGGGTCTTGGAGGGAAAGCCAGGGTGTCATCTAACTCCATGCAATTCCACTGGGGAGCTTATGCATGGTTTTCAATTTCTAATTTGCCACAGGATCACGACCCATCAGAGTTTTCTATCCTCAACACTGCCACTTCAGCCTGTCACTGTCACGTAATTCCCCCTAGGTGACATCTCCTCCTGGATGTAAGAGCTTAATCTACTAGAAAAGGTCCTGAGAGACCAAAATGACAAAAACTAACCAGCCCTGAGGAGGTCTGGGAGAGCAGCAAAATGCTGATCAGGACATTCACCGATACAACACTGTCCAGTCTTCTGGGAAAACTTCATCAGAATGGGAATCATAATGTAAACAAATGACTGCTTCTGGATTCTTCTAGCCCAGCAGGCCAGAACAGGTAAATATCTACTATCTCAGCATTCCAACAACTATTAGAAATAAACAGATAGGTTTCAATCATTCTTAATAATTAACAGTAAGGAAGGGTGTTTCAGGTATTGTGTTAATCAACAGGTGCTAAAGGAATATGACCTTTTGGAGACAAAGTTTGGCATGACAGTCAAGTTTTTCCATGACACATACTAGAAAGCACAAAAACACAATCAGCAAGACAACTTTCTTGCTTCAAGTCTCAATATTTGAACAAATGAGTCACTGATACATGCTTTAGATATTCCTACACTAAAACTAGATTATAAGTCATATGTATGAAATCCACTCCTGTGCTATAAGCTGCCTGTGACAGCTTGTTCCAAATGCTGACCTAGAGAATATCTGGTATGTTCAGACTGATCTAAGAAGTCTGGATTTTATATTCATGATCCCAGTTTATAAGTGCATGTCACACAGATGGACTTGTCTCAGTGCTGATTTCAAGAACCAAGGAAAATGCGCAACAGAAAAAGCTTTGCTGATCCATTGGCTGAAGAAGCCAAATTTCATCAGATGTATATGATTCCATTACCTTAGTAAAGGGAAAACATGGACTTTTCTGGCAGCATCTGAGTACAAAATAAAGAGTTCATGACTGAAACTGTTAAATATGCACTATTCATTAGTACATGAAGAGAGAAGTGTAGAAAAGAGCTGTTGTAGGTGCTCTAATAACTAAGATAAGGGTCTGAGATTCAGGAAAGCTGGATAAAATTGCAGGCTCTGACACAGACTTTCTTTATGACCTTGGGCTACTCACCAGATACTGCCACCGCCCCAGGTTATCCAGCTATACAATGAAGATATGTTTAGCTGAAGAACCCACTCTGTTTTGGTTGGTTTTCCTATATTGTTACACAGAGACATGGACCAAGAGGGAGATTTCTTTGACCATGAGGGAAGGGAGGGATGAGGTGTAAGAGTCCTCCCGGAGATTAATGTGATTTGATCCAAGAAACAAAGCACAGCTCTGGGAAGCCTGGGGGCTGAAGGAGAATTTTCATCCATGCAGGTGGCATGGAGCTGGATCTGGGTGACATGGATTGCTGTAGGGAGCATTAGCACTGTAGGGATGACAGACCCACCTGGGAGGAGGATGTAGGTTTTACTATCAAAGCCAAGCTCATCTCATTTGACTTAAATCAGAGCTACAATGATTTGCACCAGAAAAACAGCTGGTTCTGAAACCAAAATAGCTCCTTAGTCATGGGCATATTCCAGGGCTTGAATCATCTTTAGCAAAGGAGAGGGGCTCAGTGTCAGAGAGTTTGAGGGAACATGGGAAAAGCTAACTGACCTTTATGGAGAATGTCAGGGAACCAAGGCTTAATCCTCAAAAAGCCCTGAGGTGTCACTCTCATTGGTGCCAGGAAATTTGTGCCACTCTAAACAGGCAGGCACACTTACCAACAGAGCATACAGGTCCAGATGCTGTATGTGCCTTGATTATTGTATAATATTACCAAATAGGATTTTTAAAAAACCTTTAAAATGCCCTGCTCAAAGAAATCCAGCTTCATTTTACAGAAGTCAGTAAAAGGACCAGCTCATTTCTTTGATGTAAATATTAACTGAGGCTGTTGAATCTGCTCTCTCACAGAATCAATTCTTTCCCAAAGAGACTAAAATGACATGTTGTCAGACACAATGGATTTCCCTTTTGCCAAACTGGAATACCATCACTAGAGCACTGAGTGAATTGATCTGGGATAGCTCAGGAAGTACCTTTAAAAAGTGCAGTATCAACAGCTTTGCCTTGTAAGGATGAGGAGTCCTTGACAGACACAGACCTCCAAATTTCCTATAAATTTACCTGATTCCTTAACAAGGAATCAGATAAGTTTATAGGAAATACGTTTATAGTGATTAAATAAGTTTAATTCCAAGAGAATTAAAAACATTTCATTCTCTTGGCAAAAGCACTAAGCCTTTATGGGGATGCCTGGTGACTCGCCTTTTTGAGCTCCATCTCCCTCCTTCTGTTTCTTTTCCAGGTAAGAGCAAGTCAAGAATTACAGAGTTTTCTGGTTCTCTGCTGTTGTCCCTGGACACTTTGCCACTGACAGGGACCAGCTCCTGCATTTTGCTCACCACTCCAAGTGCCATTGCATTGAGAATTATTGACATTGTCCCCAAGGGGGCTACAGCTGTGTGACTATAAATAAACACAGTGCTAGGAAAAGACACTCAAGGATAAATAGCAAAGGTAGTGCATTGTGTGAGACCAAAATAACTCCATGCTGTTCACTGACAGTACCTTCCCCTGGCTGTTGTGTACTGGCTATTTCCAGCCAGGCCTTGGTCTTCTTCTGAAAGGCAAAAAGCCTGCGTGGCTTCAGAAGCCATGGGGCTCCTCTCTGTCCCTCCAAGGTGGTGACACTGAGAGGCTGGGACCCACTTATGAGTACACACTGTTAGTAGCACTGCTGGATATTCAACATCTGCACATTCTCAGAGCTGTGAAGATGCCAGGTAAATTACCAGCACCTGTATGGACTCTTCTTTCTCCCCCTCCTTTGCAGTCACAGGGTCTCTTCAGCAGCCCCTTCTGGCAGGGTCCAGTTTGGGGGTTTCACTCATGCTCTGTACCCGCAGAGGAGGCTTATGGATGGCCCAAGGGAACTAAAACAAACAAATGATCTCATTGAGAGGCAGAAGCACGACAGAAAGATTTGAGCTAAGTCAATTGGTGTATGCTCCCTCAATGTATCTCACCAATGTGGGTGAGAAGGTCTGTGGGTGCTTGGGGCTGTGAGGAGAGAGAAGGATGCAACAGGTCCATAGTGTCCAGGTTTTGATGCAGTGGGGGGCTTGAGTGAGAGCCAGGGGTCTGTTCTGCAAACTGGACCAATTAAATACCAATTTGATTCTACACTAATGGATGTTGAAAGAGCCACACTCCTGGCATGTGACTCCATTGATATTAATTCATCAAGGATGAGCTTGGCTTGGATGATACCTCAGATGAGAACCACAGAGAAGTATTTTGTCAAAATACAGTATGTGGACAAGTTCCTGATCTTCAGTGGAACTGAAAATATTCACATTTAGAACTCACTGGAAAGCTAAAACAATGTTTTGGCATTTATAATGGTGTTTGTAAATGTCTTCTTAGCACTTGAGTTATGTTATTTTACTCTACAAAGTTACTATTCCACTGATTCATTTTTTCTTTGTTTGTTCTATTTTAAAGTAGAACATTCTCAAGAAATCCAGAAATTAAAGCCAGTTAATCTGCTTTGCTCACCCTGGTACAGCGATGTTTATTTTTAAATGAATCTTTTAATGATATTTTCAATTACAAAATAATGAAAGAAAGACAATTCTTATCCTGCATTAGTTATTGTATTACATGTAAGCCCTTTTAAGCAGAAAATTCCTCATGATATTAAAGCTAGATTCCTGGATTTTTACCTGACTTCTCAGCTTTGTTACCAACCTTCTGCTCAGTATAGTACATCAGTTTTCCGTTTGAAGAGAATATCCCCTCTTTAGTGGTATTCCAGTCACAAAAGTCAGGTATTTCAGACTGTGAAGGGAAGGTCAAAAATTAAAAAAGTAATATAGTTCTACTCATGCCAAGGGGATAGTAACAGCAATCAAGCCCTCTTTGGCAATGAAATTAGAATAGCACAGAAAGCAATTATTTCAGTGCAGATATGCTCTCAGCTAGGTTTCTCACCTTTCTGTAGTCACACAACTTCTGCTGAAAAATTATACCTGGGACATTTGGACTGTTGTTAACCAATAGTTCCGACTCAACATTAAGAAGAAATACTACTCTTCAAAGAGATGATCTAAATTGTCATTTCTTACAGGCACATGCAAATTTGTCCTGCTTAAAGTTACATCCTCACTACAACATTAGGCTCAGTTCTTATTGGGTTTTGCTCCACCAGATTTCATCATTCACAGAGATGGTTCAGAAATAGTGTGAGTTTTGCTCCAGGACATTCATGGCTCCATGTAGTCAGTCAGCAGGGGATGCAATGTCTTGCTTGTCCAGATACACATCTGCTGCTTCAGGCCTGGAAAATCTGTTCATGCTTCCAGCCAGAAGTCTCCAGAGGATTAAGTAGCCTCCAGCAAAACTCTTCTGCAATAGTGTTGAAATAAAAAATGTTAACATGTCCAAAACACTGATTAAACCCAAATTAATCCTGAAGCAGTTATGGCAGCCCTTCTGTGCATATGAAACTGCTGAACCAGCAACTGTGCAATATCTGTTCAGGGACAAAGTAAAAGCATAACAAGAAATCCAAGATCTGCTTGGGGTGTGTTTCAGAGAGCTTGTCTGCTGCTAACTCCTAAGTAGCAAGTCCTTCAGTGCACTCTGCTGCCAGTGTAACCTCTGCCAGCTCAGTGAGACAAGAACAGATCCACTATCAGCAGCCACAGTTGATGTAAGTTCAGTTTCAGAGAGGTCTCAGCCCACCTGGGACTCTTACTAGATCTGCTAGGGGTTCATGAAGTCCTTCACCAACACCTTGAGTGAGCACTGGGAGGTTCAGGACAGGAAGTCCTGCAGTACCTACAGCACACCTGAATAGTGGTAGATTAGAGTGGAGCAGCAGAGTGCTGCTTAAACCCTGTAATCCTCACAACCACAGGTTAGAGACCTTCCTGGCAGCTCTGGTTCCTGGACCACTACTACTACCACCACCCTCTCATTTATTTTCCCATGTCACATGGGTGATCTGGGGGCTCTGTGGCATTTAGGACATGCTACATTCAATGTTGCACAATTTAAGGCACACTTCCAGGGAATTCAGCAGTGGAATTTTCTTGGTCTTCCTTTCACTACTAATGTACCTGTAGAAGCCCTTCCTGTTGCTCTTCCCATCATCACCAGCTATCAGCTCCAGCCCAGTTTTGGCTTTCTTAATCCCATCCTCTGTAGTTCTGCACTGCTCCTTGATTGCCTGTCCCTGCTTCCCCCTATTATGTGTTTTCTTTTTATGTGTGAGCTAGTCAGTCATTTTCTGTACACCCTGGCTTCATGTACTGCCTTCTTAAGCTCCTGCTTGACAGTAGGGATCATGCTTGAGCTTTGAGGAGATGGCCCTTGAAGATCATCCACCCTAAACATCCCTTTACTCTACCCAGCAATATCCCATGACAAGCTGCTTGCTAGTTTCCTGAGCAAGCCAAAGTCTGGTGTTCTGAGCCATTCCTGAACAAGCCAAAGTCTGGTGTTCTCAGGGTCATTTTTCTGCTACTCACCTATCTCTGCTTTCTCGTGGTCTTAAATTCTACCACTTTTTGGTCTCTCCAAGGCTGCCGTTGACCATCACAACCCCAACCATTACTTCTTTGTGAGTAGAAAATCAATCAGAACATCCCCTCCTCAGCATGGCCAGCACCTGTGTCAAGAAATCATCCCTGACCCATTCCAGAAATCTGGATTTCTTGCCCTACTGTGTTTCCTGCTCAGCAGATTTTAGATCAGGCAGTAAACCTTACAAAAGCTAGAGCATGAGACAGTGAGACTTCTTCCTCTAGTGAGAGAAGACTTCATTTGTTTTGTATTCTTGGTGAGGTGATCTGTAGCAAATGCTTACCACGATGTTCCCAGTGTTGGCTTCCCTCTGCTCCACAGCAGAATTCCATGCATCTGGGCTGTTTCTCTCTGTGCAGAGCATAACCGCCTTTCACATCTCACCCTCCTCCTTCTAAAATATCCCCCCATCACAGCACTTCAGCTGTTAGAGCTCTGACAGTGTCTAAGTACAAAGGAGCAATGGGTGGGTCAGTACCCTGCCTGTCCAAGTCTGCAATGCTGTGAATACTGTGTCTCCCAATCCAATCAATATGGAGATCCAGGCACCATCTCAATGTGACTTGCTGAAACACCTAAATTAGATGGTGCACCTTCATCTCTTGATTATTACTCTGAAAAAATTATAATAATAGCCTTGGGGCAAGGCTTTAATCCACATCCCCACACATCCCATTATAGTTACAAACACGTCATGCATACTCAGTCAGGTTCAGCAGAAAGAATAACTATTCTTTTCCAATGTAGTAAAGCCAGATGAACAATGGAAGGCATCTCAAAGATCTAGTTTCCATTTCCTTCACAAAGTCAAGGACTTCCCTGCTTGCCCAGACGCAGTCATGGCTGATGTGCTTTTGCTGGCTTCAGATAGGAGAGAAAAAAGGAAGGAACCAACAGAAGGGAACCTATCTGAGGTCAGACCTCGTCAGGACCAACAGACTTGGGAATTTATGTCCAGAAGTGACTTGTTTGTGTTTATTTCTGCTGTATTCAAGGAAAGGGGAAAAGACTGTTTATTCTTCTGCAAATAACAAGATCACAGGGAGAAATATACTACATTTACACGAGCATTGTCTCTTCCAAATAGAAAGGCTGTGACAGGCGATGGCATACTTACAGCCTGTTTCTTGAGCCTTAGTATGATCTCTTTCACATGGAAGAATAATTAGTAAAAGAACATTGAAATTCTTCAAATTGCATTCAAATTTGGTTTCTTTCCTTCAAGCTGTAAAAATCTCACTGCAGATATTGACAATTCAGTTTGAGCCACAGAAGGTGCAACTAATTTGTGTTTTGTCCTTCCAGTGCAGTTTCTTAAAAGAATGAAGGTCTTAGTCCCAGGCAGCACAGGAGCACATATAACCAACATTTGGAAGCAGGAAAATCCAGAAAGGAAATCCAGATTTTAAGGAAATCCAGACTGACAGTCTCTCTTCCTGCAGCAAATCACTGCCTGATCCAGTTTCCAGTTTGATTGCTACTCTTTCCCGCAGTACACCTGCAGGTAAAAAAGCAATACAAGCAACACACCCCTTCCCAGGTGAGGAGCAAGTGAGGTGATGGTGCAGCTGTGTCTGTACAAAGGAGCTGCTAATGGTCCTTCCTGAGTGAGGATGGTTGGTTGGCTGGTTGGTGCAGTTCTGTCTTTGACGGGGTAAGGGAGACAAACCACAGAATAAACAGGAGAAGTAAGAAGCACCTTTAGAGCTCTGTCAAAGACTGCTTTGTCCATCTGTGAGGGGAACTTAATGCATGAGCTAAAAAATATTTTCCCCCCTGGTGGGGAGGAAACACTGGTGGGATCAGGAAACACTATAGCATCTTTAACTGCTGCAGCACTCAGTGAGTCTCCATTTTTAGGGACAAAAGCCACATTCCTTAACACATACACAAGTGTTCATTCACTGGTCTCACTAGAGCTTAGCACTACTAAAATGTCTCTATGATTACAAGCAAAAATGGACAAATACTGTTATTTTGCTCATGAAATGCTGGTTTTAGTCTGCGCAGAAAAATGTGCTGTTCAGACTACCTTGGTATTCCATGTATATCAGGTATTGGCCCCTAACAGGACAAGAAGAACAGTCTGAACCAGACAGACTGGAGACAGGGAACCTGCAGGACTTCCAGGTCTTGCCATGCTGGCTCACAAAGAATCTGCTGAGCACAGTGGGTGCTGCTGCTCCAAACCCACCTGCAATACAAGTAAAATGGATGTGAGCTCACTTCACTTTTTTCATACCTCAAGACACCCAACTACTCATGATGGTCACCCCAAATCCAACTGCCTTCCCTTGCTACACTGCCCCCTTTCTCACAGCTGCTAAGTCTGAAACTCCCAAGGACAGAGTTTCCTTAATTAATCATCAGGCAGAATTTTTCTTTTCTTTTCTCTGTCTCTTTTTCCATTTCTGAATTGCGATGTCTCCTGCCAACGTTCAGCTTGGAATGAATTTCTACAACAGAGCCATATAACTTCTGAAAATAGATACTTACACTGGAGAGCCTGACACACCCTATATGGAGCCTGTGAGTGGCAGAACAGTAATCAAAAGAGAGTCAAGACACTAGGCCATGCTAGCGTTCAATTAGGCTCTGAGCAAAGCAGCCCTAAGAGAAGAAAGTAAATGGGAACTCTGTAAACGCCCCCAGGCTCTTTTCATCACTCAGAGGCATTTCAGTTTGTTCTCTTTAGGGTGACCCTAGCACAGGAGAGTTATTCCAATACAGCTGGTACATTCAGAACTCCTTGAAAAATAAAAATTCTCGGAAGTAGCCAACTGTCATGATTTCCTGGTATGAAACTGCATGTTAAACCTATGGGGGAAAGAAGCCAGTAGTCATATGATATGTCTGAGCTCTGCCTATCATTAGCAAGGGTGGGTTTTTCAGGATAAAATTCGCCTGGGCCAAATAACAGGAGAGTGATAAATAAAGCTTGTCAACTGCCCTTTCTGACTCACTCTCTCCTGCTCAAGGGTGACTCACTGTCATGTGTGAAAGGCTGCCAGGTCCTCCTTACATGCTGAAACAAGCATGGGTTCTGTGTTAGACACACATAACCTCAGAAAAAGCAGACACTTGCTGCTGAGAAGGCAGCCCTGGAAAGGACTCTGCTGACTAAAGGACCTGAACTTCAAGGTATTTCTCAACCCTTTCTGAAAAGTTCAAGGTTGTTGTTAGATTACCACAGAAAACTTAGATGCAAAGCCATGGCTAAGGACTTGGCTGGTGAGTGCAGTGTTTAAACCATGGCTTACTAGGACCATGAAGGTTTACCAGGTAACTCCTATGGAGTGAGTCAGCCAGCACATTCTAGGCGCAGACAGAAGTAACTGAGACCCTGCCTGGTCTAGAGGTGCCTTTTGTCCAAGGAAAATGGCATGAAAAAAGCAGTCTCTTGTTGCTCACTATTTCATGGGGCTGCTCCCTCAAGGAGTCTGTGAATCTGCAGAGGGGCAAACAAAGCACGCTGAACATCATCTCTGAGTGTGAGTACTCACTGAGTGTTCCTGAGCAGCACCAGCAGCTGCTCAGTGCTCCCTCCTCTCTGCACTGACAAGGACCTTGCAGGTAAGTGGCTGTGCACAAAAAGCTTGTTTGCACCCAGGAGTTTTGCTGCCTACGTGAGTGTGTGCTCCACCCTTTGGTCTCCTCCTGTCATCCCGGGCCCACCACCGGCCAAGTGCACAACTCTGTGAAATCTCTGCCCCAGGCACTAATAACCAATCCCAGTTATTAGCACATACCACAGTCTGCATTGCCCTGCAGACAGGCGGCAAAGGACACCTTGCCCTTGTACCCTTTTGAAGGCTCCATGCATTGTCTGTTGCCGTGCCGTGACAAAGCAAGGTGCTTTTGCAAGGACAACTGCTGGGATGTCAACCCACAGGTCACAGAGGGCCCTGTGGCTAGAGGGACACAATTGCACCTGTCCTTTGGCACACAGAGGATTCCTAATGCAGGAGCTGACAGGTTTCTCCCAGGACTAAGAGGGGAAGATGTTCCATAGCCTTCCTCAGCTCCAGGTATTGGCCAACATCTTTCTGCATCATGTAGGGAAACCATGCTGCCACAGAGCAGTGATAGCACAGCTGCCTCCTGCGTGTCCCGCCAGGTGTGCACCTTCCAGGAGTCACCCATGCAGCTGGGAAAGACACTCACACGTGCTTTGACCCAGAAAAACTGGAGCTAAAGCCCCATCTTAAGGTCTCACTGTTGGAGTGTTGGACACAGAATTTTAATCTTTCTGTGCTGAAGGGCATAGACCCACAAGAAAATACTATATTTGACTTGAGGCCGTGGAGAAGGCTTCCAGAATTGATTGATAGCACTGGGATTATGGGTGTGTAGTTTGATTGAAAGTGTGCAATATCACTGGGTGGAAGACTTAGAGTTTAAGGTTTTAGAATATAGCAATATACATGGGGCAAAATGGAGGTTTTAGGGCAGTGGCTGGTTGTTCCTCTTCACCTTCTTCCTTGGATGTGTAGTATTTTGTAATGGGTGGTATGTAGTATTTTGTAATTGGACAGAAAAGTCCGCATTGCAGACTTCGAGTGATCAGTTATTGGCTTAAAAGTGAAATTAATTTAGGTGTCATTTCTTAATTGGATAGTTTAGCCTTAAAAGACCTTGTAACAAGAGATAGTTAGCCATTTTGTAGCTTGTTAGTAGAAAGCTGTGATATAGATAAGAAATAATAAACACTAAGCCTGAATGTGAAATATCATCTCGAGAGGTTCAATCCTGACTCGACAGAGGAAGAAAAAAGAAGCCTGGCATCTCACCACCATTTTTCAAATCATATGATCCCTAACCTGTCTGCCTGGAATGAAGGTGTAACCTAGAAATGTTAATTTTGAATAGAGTCACAGAATGGTTTGGGTTGGAAGGGACCTTAAAGTTCATCTAGCTCCAACTCCCCTGCCAAGGGCAGGGACACCTTGCACTAGACCAGGTTGCTCAGAGAATAAAGAGTGTACCATCATTTACATGAGGAAGATATAGAATCCACACACAATTCAAAATATATCTTTTATATTTATTCTCCTCTGGGAGAAGGTTTCCATCCCCTAAAATTTCTAAGAGGTTATATTTAAATATTTTTGCTGTGTACCAGAACGGATGTCTAATGAAAAGCTTAAAGAGAAGCTGCAGGCCACAGCAGCCTCATCCAATGGCAAAAGGACTCACCTGACACATGGAAAACAAGCCTAGGCCACAATGCTACTTAGGCATTTAATATAACATATGCCAGTCTAAGTGAGAAGACTAAGTATTAGCTGTGAACCTGCACTCCCAGTGTCTGTCTCAGTCAGGCAGTGCTGGGCCATCCCACAGAAGTGATCCAGTCCCTGGGCT